ACCTTGGTTTTACATTTTTTTGATATTATTTTGTAAGCTAATTTCTATTTTGATCTATGTAATATCCATATTAATACTAAAATCGATATGATTGTTAAATTATTGAAATTGTTGTAAATTAGATCCTAGATATTTATCTTTAACAATTATTATTAAAATAATTTTAAAATAATGTTTGCTCTTTATTTTGGTTAAATACATAACCGATTAGATCATTCAATTGACACAAGGGCTGTTAGCTCAGCTGGTTAGGACGTCGAACTTATCAATTTTGCCATTTTTCGACCGCGTTCAATCTATGGTTCAAATCCTGTCGGGGCAGAATTTTTTTTTTGTTTTTTTTTATTTTTTTTTATTTTTTTTTTATTTTTTTTAGATTTTTTTGTTTAGAAAATATGAAAATTGAATAAATACGATTATTGTTGATTATTTTTTTAAATACATTTTAATTATTATAGTAATAATAACCTTGGTTTTACATTTTTTTGATGACATTATTTTGTGGTCGTAGGAAAAATATTGTACATCACTTGTGTGAAAAGTGATTTTCCACACTCGTAATGTAATATACTATTTCGGAGTCCCCAGATGCGAAATTTTTACCCAGGATCCCAAGTTGACAAGTTCCGAGTTGTGAATATACCTTTCTCATTATCCTGAATACATAAACTATTCCTTAAAAACTATTCTTTAAAATTAAAAACCTGCATTCGAATTTGTATAACAAAAATAAATTAATAAAAAGAAAAAGGAAAAAAACTGTTACTTACAATAAATATTCCTTTTGTGTATGTATTTGCATTTATTTTCTTTCATAGCTCTTTCCCATAATAATATCCTTAGATATTTCAACTATCTAATTGATAAAATACTACGCTTTAATATTCATGAAATTTCTGTAAATAACATATATTTTCCTCACACTTTGTGAGTATTTTTAAATTCGCGCCTATACAAACTCTACGCGTGACGTCATGCGCGTAGCCGTCCTATTTTTAACGCAGTTGACATCCTACCTTTTATTTTTTATGCCATGCATAACTTCAGTAAGTAACTCTATACACATACTTTGATTTTCTTTTACTATACAGAGAATGGTCGCACTGCGCAGCTTTCTGAGTGCCTTTTAAAAGGAGATAGAAAACTCCGCCATTTTGTTCCCTTATTACGTGTTGCCTACATCTTGGCGCAATATTTTTAATAGGTGCGTTTTAATCATCCGCTTCTGCTTCGGAATTGTCGGTTTTCTTTTTTTAATCTGACAGGTTAAAACTACTAAACCGACAATTCCGGAAGCAGAAGCGGATGATTAAAACGCACCTGATATTTTGCTTGCTACTGTCAGTGTCAGTAAATATTATTTTTGGAGTCACAGTTTATTGCTAAAGAATCAGTTAGCTCACTCGAACCAGTTGAAAGTTCCAAAATAACATCCACTCCAGGGATACAAATTCAGGATACGCAGAAGACTGCTGTTTTATTATAGGCGGTTGTCATATATTGTATTATCCGAGTTGCGCAGTGTATAAACTGGAACATTGAGATCAAAAGTGCCGACGCAGAATGAGCGATCTGATTCTTTAGTTATAAACTGTGGCATAGGAATCTCTATAACAATGTTACAGACCTATTTGACAAAACTGATATTTAAAATGTCATAAAAGTTATTAAAAACAGCCTTTTTCATTAAATTTCTTGTTTAACCAGGTCACGTGGGATACGGATATTGTTGAAGAAACGTTATTAGTACAAGTTTGTCGTAGGCATTGCAATCTTTTTAATTACGTATATTGTTATTTTTACTTTCCTGTTTGTAAACAGATAAGGAAAGTATAGGAATCATGATTTTTTCGACCTAGACTTTTCGAGGGATTTTTACATTTTGAGGTCCCCTAAATTCGTTTGGACTCTTTTCGCAATGATGTCTGTCTGTGTGTCTCTATACTCAATAACTCATGAACGGATACAGATACAAATACCAACTTTTGAACTTAAGCTTGAATCCATCCTGCAATGAACTAATTGAATTTTGGGCATAGTCGGGACTTTGGAGGGTACTTTATAGAGGGTCGTTTTTCTATTTTATTGAATATACCTGTTATTAACGCTTAAAGAATATTCTTCAAATTAAAATTGCTTATATTATTTATTCTCTTATCATTTTTTTTCTAAAATGGCCCGTATTCGAAAAATTTGACAAAAAGTAACAAAAACAAATTTTTAATAAAATTGTTCGAATAAAGTTGTTTGTTATGTCATTCTCAATAATTATTGTTCTATACATAAATTTAGAAACGGATAAAAAAAAAACACTAATTTTTAAATTTAAGCTTTAATCCATTCTACCGTAAACTGTTGTTTAAATTTTGGGCATAGTCAGAACATCTGGGGGGTACTTTATAGAAGGTCGTTTTTCTACTTTATGGAATATATCTGTTATTTACGATTGAGGAAGAACATTTTTTAAATAAAAATTGCTTGTGTTATTCTCTATAATTTTTGTCCTATACTTAATTTTCCTAAAATGGTCCGAAATTTGACAAAAAGTGCAAAACACTAATTTTTAAGAAAATTGTTGAAATAAAAGTTGTTTCATATCATTCTCTATAATTTTTATTTTATATCTACATGATTTCTTTAAACATTTACAGGAGTGATATGTACAATAGGTTGTACAAAATAACCGAAAAAAGCCTGTATTAACTAGACAGGAGAGTTATGTGTTGGACACATTCGATTTTTAGTTTTACTTTCAAATTGACTATAGTCTATTTTTATGTATGAGAGAGTATTAAAATAATAAAGCGTTCGTAATCCATAGGCGTACCACTTCTTTTAGTAGACAGTTAAAATATTTTTTGAAGTTATTCCTCGAGTATACACTTATATTTTCACCTAATTAACCTGCTTATAACTTCTAAACAGCTGAAGGTAAAAAAGTGCAATTTTTTCTAAAATGTTTTATTTTTCCACAAGGTATGTTAAGAACATTGTGTCAAACGGGTTATGTAGGTATAAGGGTTTAAACTTTGACTTTTAAACAACGTTACGTTCATAAATAATAATTTTAATATAAAAACTACTTCTTACCTACAAATCCAAATCAGAATCGAAATCAGAAGATGAACTGTCGCAACCAATATTTACAATGAATGGCTCGATCATTTCATCAGTAATATTGTCCAACTTCCACATTTTCTCTTCTTCTTTAATCGTATGATTTACTGCCTTTTCCCAGTTTTCAGGCTTCACATTATTTACAGCCTCCAAAAACAACTGTTTAACATCACTCATTTTAAAAGAATTATTTTTTCTTAAAACTTCTCCCTTTATCTGTGCCCATATCAGTTCAATCGGGTTTACTTCGCAATGATATGGTATTGATCTAACAACCGTCATACCACGATTTTTTGCAATTTCATCAATTTCATATTTTTTTAATTTCTCTTTATGAAGGGAACACAAATGATACAGTTCTTTTCTCACAGAACCGAGATGGAACTTAATATTCTTTGAATTTAGCCAATTCTGTAAATCTTTTTTTAACCACTTGTTTGTTGGCATTTTTTCTATAAGTCTCGAGTGATAACTTGTATTATCATTACTATTATACAGTTCTGAGGAAGAAGATCTATAATTTGTTCGAACCACTCTTTAAAGACACCAGCATTCATGTCCTCATGTTAGTCACCGGTACGAGTAGATTCAAAAGTCAATAAACCGTTTGAACTACCGATGTGTACTATTATTAGTCTGCGCCCCTTTCCTGATGGTGGATTTAAACCAGTAGATAAATTATTTAAAAAAGCCTGTCTTCGACTTGTAACAGTTTCATCTTGCCAAAATTTATTTGGTTTATGTCCCTCGTTGATCAATGTTTCATCTAAATAAAATATATTTCTTCTTTGGTTTCTCATTTCTTTTATAGTCCTTAGGTAATTTCTTCTCCATACTACAATATCGCTTCTTTCTATTAAAATAGACTTTCTGGAATGCTTTTTCCATAGAAAACCTATTTCTTTTAAAAGTTTCCATAGTGTGCTTTCGACTCATTTCAGGGTAATCCTTATCATCTCGAACCGTGGCAACAACTTTGTTTACTGTCGGAAATTCTTTTCTAAAGAAGAACGCATGCACTTTCCTTCGAAGTCTTTCTTTCAAAAGATTTTCTAATTAAAATTTTGGTTTTCCTGGAGCTTTACGTGCCGTTTGAAACTCGCCACATTTCTCTTCTTTAACAACTCTGTAAATCGTAGATTTCCCAACACCAAGCGTACTACTAACTAATTCCACTGTGTCATCAACACTTTTACATAAATGTTTGTATGTAAATGATTTAAAACAATTAAATATTAATGTTTTTTCATTAACTGTTAAAGGACCAATTTTTTGTCGTTTACGCGGCCCTTCCAAATTTTCCATGATCACACTAGAATTCACACTGCACCATGCAAGTTGCAACTAAACGACATTTAGTAAACTGTCAAGAATACACAACTTGGACCTCCTTACTAAATGGAAAACCTATAATCGCATTTTCGGTGAAATTTGTTGGGAAGGTATTTATCTACTTATAATTCGATTACTGTAAGAAATTCTTGGAATTAAAATAAAACAAAATTGGCAAATAGGTACTTATTGAAAATAATCTTAAGATACGGCTATGTAATCTTTAATACACAGGGCTTTTGGCCTGTCCAAACCTTTTTCTATTGTTCTGTACAGCTTATGTTTATAAAGGACCAATAAAAGACCCAAAACTTGTAATAGCTCAGGTACATTTATTACAATTTTAGGAAATATTTAGATTATTCTGTAAAAAAATTTAAAATGACCGTACTAAGTTTTGCATTAGAAATGCTGTTTTATTACTCTCTCATACATAAAAATAGACTATAGTCTGTTAGTATTTATACATTGCAAAATTGTTTTCTATTTGTATACTACTCATGACAATAAAATTATATTACATTCTAATTGTTTTTGTTTTGTTGTTGCAGCTCCAGTATCGGTGGCAAGCGTGAACGGCACTAGTTCGAGTTCCCCTTTAAACAGTAGGACGGGGTCACCACCAGAAACGAATATGACCGGCGCTGCGCCTCAAACGCAGCCTACCGCAGGTTCTGGTCAAAGTCCCATGGCCGCACTCATTTCAGTAGCCGACAATCTACCACCCGGAAGTCCCCGATCGACGGGCGGCAGCCCTCCGACGAACGTAGCCCCCAGATCCGCATCCAGAGGTTCCCAACATTCGCCTAATTCAACAGGTAAGAGAAATGGCAAGCATATTAATAATTATAGTATACCAAGAGCCGTAAATATTATTTTAGAATTTATTGAAGAAGACTAACAAAAACATACAAATTTGCTCATAAAGATTATATTTAACAACATTTGTGAATATCTAAAATATACCATGCAGAATTCAACAATAATGTTAAAACCTGGATATTACTGCACATACAACAAAAAAATCTCGACTGTAAATGCATTTCCCGCAAGAAGTGGCAAGACACCATTTTTAAAATAACTAATTTATTTTAAAATAATATTGTAAACTGTAAAAAGCATCTATAAACACATAATGACATTTATTACTTGATATTTTTATTGTAAACAAAGTTCATTACCGCTAAATGATACAATAAAAAAAAAGAAACTAATTCATTTAATATCGAAATCACAATCAAAATTTACTTCAAACTACATAAATTTATGTTATGCAACATTCGTAGTGAGTTGTTGATCTCTTTACACGTTTCTCAGTTCTTCCAGATTATAAAATGGCGTATTTCTCAGTCCTTCCAGATTATAAAATGGCGTTGAAAAAAATGGAATTTTTGATGTATTTCTGTAGTACTCCAAGATATTAAAGTTTGTCTGGTCGTAGTTGCACCATTTTGTTGGAAATAACTATTTTGATTTATGAATGGGCCGAGTATCTCATTGCGATATCGTGCAACAGTATAATAACTGTGCTTTCAAAAAAAAAAAAAGAAGACCCACCAAACTTCTTCGATATATTCCAACCCAAACAGCAACTTTTTGGGGATGCAATGGTTCTTCAACAAAAAATGAGGATTTTCAATTGATCACCACCTCATTCTATGAATTAACATATTATCCAGAAAGGTAAAACCAAGCCTCATCTGAGAAAAAACTGTTAAGGATATCTTCATTGTATAGATTATTTTGGAACCATTGACAAAATTCTACTAGTCTTGGATAATCCACTGAAAAATTCTTAAGAAAATATTGCAGCTTGTATGCATGACAGTGCAGTCTTTATTTAGAATGAGTTGGCATGTCATTGTGTCTTAAGACAATTATGTTTGTTGGGCCCATTTAGTTACTAACTCCATGGTTGGGCCTCTATTTAAATCGTTGTTCTTGGATTTTCATCAACATACATTGTAAAAATCATTTTCCTACGACCACTTAGGAAAGTGACACATATCACACTATATAGTCCTATGGAAAGTGCCCTATATCACACGCGTATGAATAAGAATTTACTTTCCACCCGTGCGCGAATATGCTACTTTCCGCATCAGCTGTCACAAAATGTCAAACGCATCATTTCTATTTTGATCTATGTAATGTCCATATTAATACTAAAATCGATATGATTGTTAAATTATTGAAATTGTTGTAAATTAGATCCTAGATATTTATCTTTAACGATTATTATTAAAATAATTTTAAAATAACTAAGTTATTTTTGCTTTTTATTCTTGTTAAACACATAACCGATTAGATCATTTAATTGACGCAGGTCCTATTAGCTCAGGTGGTAGAGTATCAAACTTTATCATTTTTTCCATTTGAGACCTAGCGAGCGACCGCGTTCAAATCCTTGCGGGGGCAGAATTTTTGTTTTGTTTAGAAAATATGAAAATTGAATAAATACGATTATTATTGATTGTTTTTTTAAATTCATTTTATTTATTATAATATAAACCTCGTTTTACATTTCCGCATCAGCTGTCACATAATGTCAAACGCATAATTTCTATTTTGATTTATCTAATATCCATATTAATAGTAAAATCGATATGATGAATAAATTATTAAAATTGTTGTTTAAACTTAGAGCCAAGATATTTATTTTTAACAATTATTAAAATAATTTTAAAATAACTACATACACCTCATTATTTTGGCTTTTTATTCTGTTTAAACTTAAAATCGAATTAAAAATGCATTTGACATAAGACCCATTAGCTCAGGTTGTAGGGTAGTTGCAATTTGAACTTTGGCTTACACGACGGGTCCGCGGGCCCGCGTTCAAAACTTGGTGGTTGCAGATTTTTTTTTTGTTTTTTGTTTATTTTTGTTTTGAAAAATATGAAAATTGAATAAATACAATTATTGTTAATTATTTTTTAAATACATTTTAATTATTATAATAATAACCTGGTTTTACATTTTTTGATGAAATTATTTTGTGGTCGTAGGAAAAATATTGTACATCACTTGTGTGAAAAATGTCACTTTCCACACTCGTAATGCATTATACTATGTATAGTAGGGACAGAAGTTGGGAAGGCGTTTCGCAGTTCTCCCACTTTCATACACAAATTGACAGTTTTTGCGAAGGAGCTAAGCGAAGTGGATGTGATACATTGGCGTACAAAATTATTTTATAGATATTAATAACAATTTCGGGTAAACAGTATAATAAATTAGTAATAAATTGTGAATTGTTGTTGAAATTTTGTAGAATTATAATTTGGGATATTATAAGACTTGTTTAATAATTATTTCTCATCCATAAATACATGCGATTGTCCGGTTCCGCCGGTAACAATTAAAAATTATTCTACGAAACACCACTGGCAGATACCTAAACATTACCGCGAAATTCTCGAAGTTGTCCGACGTGGTTTGACGTTTACTCCCTCTCTACCTACCAAAAGCCTTTCCAACTTCTGCCATTGCTAACACTAATTCAGAATGTTTTTCAAGAAAATCAGCCATGCATTCTGAAACTGAGTACTGTCAGTCGCCATTTACTTTCACACCCATACAGAAGTAATATTCGATACTTTGTGCCTTTTGCTCTGTTGAATACAATTTTCTTAATAAAAGTTTTGACACATTTGACACAAACGTTCGGTTTCAATTTCAAGATTTAAATGTCGTTCTGTGAAAAGGGCTAAAGTACCAACCTAAAAAATTTCACAACCAACTCGAATTATGATTTTTATTGATAGCTGGTTATATTTTATCAACCGACTTCAAAAAAAGGAGGTTCTCAGTTTGTCGGATTTTTTTTATGTATGTTCAGCGATAATTCTTTGCCACGTTATCAGTTTTTTGTTAGAAATGGGATACTTCAGGGGTGGTCCCATACAAATTTAACCAAGATCCAATAATTGGGTTCAATGGATCCATGAAACAATCATCAAACTCTTATTTTTTTTATGTATGTTCAGCGATAATTCTTTACCACTTTGTCCGATTTCTACGATTCTTTTTTGTTAGAAAGAGGGTATGTGGACAAGATCTGGTGGTGGCAGCTTCACGATTTTGAAGTCGTTTTTTTTTAATTTAAATATAACTTGTTCACTTTGATTTTTCTCAGCAGGATCTTCTAGCGGAAGGCGGTCTTCCGGATCCAGGCACGTCTCCTCCACGACCGTGACGTCAACGGAAACGGGCACCGTGTCTGCCGGCAACAACGAAGCCCTGACCGGTGGCGGCGATAGCGTGGCCACCACTCCCACGGCTACGGCCACCTTGAAATGTACTTTGTGCCAGGAGAGGTTAGAGGATACGCATTTCGTGCAATGTCCTTCGGTGCCGCATCACAAATTCTGTTTTCCTTGCAGCAGGGAGAGCATCAAGAGGCAGGGTGCCGGATCAGAGGTAAATACACGGATACAAATTTTTATGTTAGATAAAAATAGTTACATACAGTTTTAAAGTTGCATTTTTTAATTTATTTTTCGCCAAAAACGTCTACTCTATGCCGCGTTTAAGAATCCACATCGGATGCATCTGAAATGTTGTGAATTTTTTGTCACGTGATAGAGAATTAGATCTGAATGTAGATGTAATAAACAAACGCTCTAGACTTTATTTGGTCACGTGATAAAATGTCAATGACAAGTTAGAAGTTCATACTTATTAAATTTGACTTTTAAGACTACAAATCAACCTAAATTTGAAATATAAACAAAAATTAAACAAACTAATCACTTTTATATTCATGCTAGCATAAACAAAGGATAAATTGACAAACAAGACTTCACAGAACTTACTTTCTGGCATGGAACGAATATCTCATTCACATCTCATTTCAAATCGAGATGTAAAAAATGTAATCTGAATAGGTACATCTGGGATAAACAAACGCAGATGTAGATGTAGTAGATGTGTCCGATGTGGATAAAAAAACACTCGAGATGTAAAAAATGCATCCGATGTGGATTCTCAAACGCGGCACTAGTAGATAACGTCAGTTGTCAAATATCATCGTAAAATTAAGAAACTAATAACTAAAAGTCTGTATTAAATCATCTTTAAAGAGTAATTAACTTGACCGAGGGTTGATATTTTGAGATAAACAATAGATATCAATTAAGGATTAGTTAAATAATTCCCCAATAATATACGTTAACAAAAATGTATCTATTATCGGCAAATTCAAAATTGAAGAAAAAATACGTTGTTCTATTAAAAAAAAATCTATGACATTGTATCATAAGACGTGCAGTGGACCTGTGAAAGCTAGACAGAAAAATATCAAATTTATTTCAACCTATACATCCTCACTGTATATTATTAATAGGGAGTGGGTGGCTCAGTGGTTAGAGTCTGGAATTTCGAATCTAAGGGTCCAGGGTTCCAATCTCACCGATAGAGGCGTGATTTTTTTTAATTTAATTTAGTTATAAATATTTCTGTATCATAGGTAGGATTCTTCACTCCGACTATTCACTATTGGGTTTTAATTAACAAACAGTGATGTTCCTAAAGTGACGCTAGGAAACAGTTACAAGGCCGTCTGTAAGGGTGCAGGAGTATTAGAGTAGTAGTACTCCTGCACTATGGAATAATATACTACTAGTACACTCCATTACCTGCAGAAAACACGAGGCTAATGACCTAAGTTGTCGTAGCCGAAGACCAAACCTGAGTGTGCAATAATAAATCAAACACAATATATTTTATTGTTTCCTATTATCAGAAGTCATAAAAAGTCACTTATTTTTTTTCAGATTTTTCCAATCATTATTTTTACAAAAAAAAAAACAGGCTACAATTATATCTTTTGGGTCTATATCACTATTCCTCACAATTGTGAGTATGTCACAATTGTGTATTGCAGGACTGTACTAATTAAATAATAGTATTTAATAAAAAAGTTTTTATTAAAGTATACAAAGGTATCCAATGTAAAATTTATGAAAATGTAATTTAAAATGTAATAATAGTCCTATTGAGACCTATAAAAATTGACAAAACAATTTTTATCCTTAGCTAAACATACGTAAATATTGCACTTGCTACAACGTATTCTTGTTCTGCTAGTACAAGATTGTAGTCTGCAACGAAGGGGATGTTTTAAGTCATCATTTACTGGCCAGTGTTCATATCCATCATAACGTTTGTCAGTACCAGGAAGGGTAGCTGGAATTATTCTTTTCTTCTTGATGCTTCTCGTCTTCTGTTTTTTTATTTTCTAAATCAGTTATTTCCTCAAACTGATTCCTCCTCTTTCTTGTGTCCCCAATTAAAAACTCGCCAACTGCTATACGAAATGTCAAAAAATCCTTGATATCCTTTCTTTGAAAATTGTTTGATTTGCAGTCTTCAACATATTCCGTCCAACTATTTACTAAAGAGAGATCAAACAAATGTAATATGACTTTAAACGGCCATTTTTGCGCCTTGAAGAAAGTTCTGTAACACTCTATCATTTGATCACAGACATCCACTCCTCCCATTTTTTTTATTGTAGGTATAAATGACGTTAGGGCAGCTGACTTCAACAAACTCTTTTTCAATTTTGTTCCAGCGTTTCACAATGGTTTCTGGTGTAGTTCCAAAAGGAGCGAACAACATACGAACCGCCGTGTTATCCATCCACTTTGTCAGTACCATGGGATTATTATCACTTCTAATAACTGACTGCGAATCACCTCTTGCCATTCTTTTATCGGGAATGAAGTCGAAGCTTACTTGAAGTCTGTTTTTCATTATAGTGCCAGTAGTGTGGATTTCTATATGATTTAGCTGCTCCATTAGCCCCACTGAGTTAAAGTATTTATGACTTTTCTTTGGTAACTTGTGAGCAAAATGTAGAATTACAGCCGGTCCAAGTCCATGGGCTTTGTGTTGAAATGGAGTTGTATTCCCCTGGTAGATTTAAAAATCTAATACAACTCCTTTAGAAGTCGTCAAAACAAATTTTTTAAGGTCTACAGTCTCGGCTTATTCTTGACATATTGTTTTAACAACGACCTAAAAAAGGAATCATTTGCTCATCTATTGAATAAGTTCCGTTTTGAGATCTTTTGAGTTGCTGGCATCTATTTCTGACATAAGTTATCATAGGCTGATTACTTTTTTTGTCCTCTTCTGAAACCCTGTTTATATCTTCTATATGAAAGTTAGAACGAAGCAAGAAAAACCGGCCTCTAGGTAATGTATCGGCAACGAGAGGCAATCTGAAGTTGGCTGTCCAATACATCCTAAGTCTTGGATATTTTACACATCCCAAAATAGCATGAATACCGAAGAACTTCTTTACTTCTTCAGGCAACAAAGAAGGTTGTAAAGGTTTTCCATTTTTGTTAAAATAGTACTGGCTAGTGCGTAAAGCACCCAGTTCGTAAAATTCATCACCCAAGTACCGCTGAAAATATTGTGCAGGTGACAAAACTTATTGAGGCTCATTTAAAGTTTCTTCAGGAGGGTCTCTTATTTCAAATAATCCTTCTATCCAAGTCCAATTAGCCTTTGCCTTTTTACCCTTTTTTTGTGTGGCAGTATCAGCAAGAGAAGGCGTTTCGTCAACACTGCTGTCTTCTGATTCAGATTCTTTTTCAGAATTTTGAAATTCATCTGTAGAATTTGAGGGTTCCCAATCTTCACCTTCTTCCCCTTTAAACTCCAGATCTGAGTCAATATCGTCCAACATTTCATATAAAGCATCCGGATTAGCTTGAAGCTGCTTTAGATTAAGTCTGCGATTTGAACCTGTAAGAAATCAAAATTATGTTCACTACTCATATTTGGAACTTTTACTATAGTTATACAATTGTGATATCAAGGTGTTTCAATAAATTTAGTACAAACTTCAAACATATTTCATGAAACCATTGATGATACAAATAAATACAATAATTTGACAGTAAAATACCAAAAAGAAATATTTAAAAATACGGTGATATTAATTTAAAAAATATACTTACGTCGCGAAGCCATTTTCGATTATACACAGCTATTATCGATAAACTGTCAACCCAAAACAAAAGCTAACTGACGATTGCGGCGGTAAACATGCACTTAAGTACACCTTACACAAGCGAACGTCGCCGGTCTCAATAGCTTCTCAGCATATTCTGAACCTTATGTACCTAAATTATAAGTAAGTTACAATTGTAGCCAGACGGTCTGTAAGCAAAATTATATAAAAATATAGACCTTTGCCATAAAAACTGTGCTATCATGCATTAAACTAGATGTGTGTAAAACTTTATTATTTGGTGTTATCAAGATTATTCAAGATACCATTTTTTGTCAGTAAAATACCATTTTTTAAGTGTCTGATACCATATTTTTTGTTTTTCATCTGACAACACTGGTAGGCAGACGCTATTCGCTCAGTGCGAAGTCATGGTAGGGGAAGCAAAAGCGATACTAGCGCATTTTAGGGCGTTATTTTGTAATTTTGGCGTATCAAATATACGTATACATTTTACCTTAGATTTATCTTTGGTATTAAAATATACCAGCGCACATATCACAAGCTTATAGGGTCTCCAAATGGTTAGAAAGGGAAAATAGAAGAAACCTTCATTCACTGTGTCTCTTCCAACGAACAATCATTAATGTCCACCATATTTACATAAAACATTACGTTCAGAACAGATATTAGATCCAAGGACTTGATAATCTCACCTATACATATAACTACAATATTTCGCAGATCGTTCAGTTATATTTATCATATTTACGTTTAAACGTTTAAAAAAATTATCTACTGCAGGATTCAAACTAAAAATGTTATAACTCTTTGATTCGACAAATAATTCGTAGAGCGATTAGGCACTTTTCTTTATTTTTATTTGTTTTAGTACCTATCTTATAAGTTCCTCTCTGTTGGGCTTTAAAGGTTAGAACTTTGATCAGCAGGCTCAATGACCTCATTGAGCTATGTTGCTTTCTGAACTTTTTCCAGAATTAGTTTCAGCTCCATATACTCGTATAAATTGTTATTTCAATATGTAACTTACCTGTAATAAATTATTATTATTATTAGTTTCTTAATTTTACAATAACAACTGACGTAGCTACTACACCACAAAAAACACGTCAAAAACATAAATGTTTGTTCTAGGTGTACTGCCCGAGCGGAGAGAAATGTCCATTGGCCAACTCGAATATCCCTTGGGCGTTCATGCAAGGCGAGATAGCCACGATACTGGGCGAGGACTATAAAGTGAAGAAAGAAAGGGAATCTTAAGGGCGAAAGTAAAGCATTGTTCCTGGTGATACTCTTTGCTTGGTGCAAGACGAGGCAATAAGCAAACCTCCCGTTGACCTGAAGGGGAGCGACATTCAAAATGGAAAACCTTGGCGATAAGAACGAAAAAATTAGAAAAAACCGTCGAGATACATATATACCAGAAAAAATGGAAAATAGTCGTGTTTGTACATAGGATTGGAGAAGGCTGTGTTAAAATCTTTAGTTTTTATGAAGAGAGGTATCCGTGATATCTTATGATTATATACCGAATTATTTAATTAAAAAAAAAAAAGAAAATAATAATGATGGCTATTCTCGCCGAATTTTTGTACATATTATATATCTATCACATAGCGACTTCAATATCTTGAGAAAAAAACGTTTAATACGTTTTTCTCGGGTTTTTCAAATATTTACCGCGTGTTTTTTATTTTTATTGTATAAACCTTGTACATTTGGAAAATTATATAATTATTAAACGAAATGTACAAAATATATTTACGCGATTAGCTTTAGTTGATAGATTTTTGCCGTAAATTTGAAATTGTTCGGCTTCTAAGGGGCATTTTCTTATTTTTTAAAAGCTGTAAATATTGTATATTCATCAGCTGATTATTATTAATAATGTATTTAGAGGCGAAAAATCTGTTGCGGATTTTTCGAAAATCCGGTAAAAGTTTGTTTTTTCGTGGTACGTTTTGAAATCATTCGCTTTTTTTAATTATGGAAAGTACTACTAGTCAACAAATGGGGCGATTACGGCTCCATTAATAGGAACTACAAAACTCGCTGGTAATTTAAGAAACAATATTTAAAAAAAAATCTTTCATTAATGATAACTGTCTGTCGATTTTTTGGTAGATAAACGTTTTAGACTTGTACATTTATACAGTATTTAACCTTAAAAGGTACTTTCTGTAGGAGCTGTGTGTAAACAGTTTTTAATGTTTTGGTAAATGTCGAGGAGCCAAAAATGACGTGGTTTTTCATGAAATCTTACACGACTTTTCTAGGCACTGTAACAAATCTTGCTATTATTTTTTTTTTTTTACTTTCAAACGTTCAATTTGTTTTCAAGTGCTATTACAGATTAGTTATTGGAGAAACGACTAAATCAGGATGCCTAAAATCGTTATATTTAAATAGTTAACGAAGAAACTTGTAAATTTGTGCACATGGTCTTTTGAGCCGACTTAATTTAATTTGTTCTTAAATTTTATTAAAAAGATTTTATAAAATGTGTAAAATTTCGTGAAAATCCGCGCCCTTTTTGTTTCTTTTATATTTACCAATTTTTCTAATTATCCAAAATCGGACATTCATGAAAATCTGTTGTACTATATCAAAATATACTGTTTCGATGAATAAAATTACAATCGTATTTAAAGTATACATATTTGTTTTTTTGTGACCTTAATTCTTTTGTCTCAAAAGTACAATTTTATGCATGGAAAAGTTTCTCAATTTCCTTCTATGATTACAAATTTAGATCACGATGATTTTAACAAAAAACACTTTGATTTAAAACATATTTATAACTATCGTATTTAAATGTGGGAAAATTTTAGATTTATTGCTACCAGTTTTGCTCTAGAAATATTGCAGTAAATACGTCATTGCCCGGTGACAGTCAAGTATTGTTTATTTTTTCACTTTGGTTTTTCGATTTATAAAAAAATCCTAACCTATTTTCTATCCAACCCTTCTTTTTTTTGGCTACATCCTCCAGTTCAATTGAGGCGGTAGCTGGAAAAAAGGCACATAGAGCTAAAAAGTGAGATATCCCCGTCCAAAGTTTGTATTCTAGTGCACCATATTATTTTACAACAAAACCAATTTCGGATGGTTCAATACAGATCTTTTAACATTGCTGTCAAAAGAATGGCTTTAAAAAACCGATTATATCACATACAGAGTTGATTATAGCACAATAAAAAAAGTAGTTTGTGTGCCCCTTTTCCATAGAATCAACAAAATATTAAAAGTGGTTTATTTGTTTATTTTTCAATACAATGGCTTTGTAAGGGATAATATTCTATAAAAAACAACGAATTGTTATGACAAACAATTTAATCCTATAAAAATGTTACTCAGATACAGCATCACTGTCGAGCATCGTCCTCATCGGAGAACCATTAATCTTATTCCAACTCACAACAACTCTATATTCACTGCAGTAACGACACACTCACTGAGACAAACCTGCCAAACAATGTTATATTTGATGACAGCAGATGTCATCACAAAATATTCGATATCTCGGTCATGTTTCGAAATATCGATATAAAATTTTTAGTGAATGTTACTAAGATGTCAGAGACGTCAAAATCGTGTTCTACGCAAAAAAGTCACATAAGGCCAAGTGCCCTTTTTCCAGCTACCGCCTCAATTTATCCAGCCAATGACTTTGCGGTGTATTCTTCGAGGTATTCTTGTCTTGCCCTCAGCAATAAAATACCCTCAAATCTTTAAACCATTCAAATTATTATCTGTCACCTGTCAGTTTGTAATGCATGTTTTTTAACGTTTAATTTTTATACCTGGCCCTTTAAAACGACCTCGATTAAAGTACCGCAATTTTGATTTGTTTTTAATATTCTAAGGTATATTGTAACGAGCCATACTTGGATTTGGCTGTGAAATTTAAATGTTTCAGTTGATACTTTAGCCACTTGCACAAAAAGACATTTTCATTGCAAACAAAGTTTATTACCTCAAAATGATACTGTAACAAAAAAAAACAAATAATTCATTTAATATCACAAACCAACTCTTCTCCACAATCCAGAAAAAACGTGCAGTGAGTTGTTGATCTCAACACTTTTCTGTTATACGATTTCTCAGTACTTTCAGATTATAAATTTTTGATGTATGGCCATACGATAATATGGATAAAGTTGCCGTACATGGCCTCCCAGTGCCGTACACTTTTATTTTGTAAATATTTTTGTCGGGTTTAAAGAACATGTGCTGTAAAAAGATTAAAATGTCATTTTTACATTGGACAATGTCATTTTAATCTTCATTAAGTAATTTAATGTCCTTTCAAAGTCTTTGCTAATTCTGTTCAAAATACCGTACGTTTACCGTACTTTTTATGTAAATACAGTACTTTTTTGTACGGTAATGACTTTGGACCGTATACCGTACATTAATCGAAATTACCGTTAAGTACGGTAATTACCGTACGATTGGCAACCCTGCCGCGCATATAAAATAATCTGGTTTTACGACAGTATAAATGCACAACGTTGCCAGATTGCTACTTTTATATTATTAATAAATAATGTCTAAGTAAAATATTCTCCGCCATAATTCCTTTCAGTAGAATCGAGGGTTTTCTTTCTTTCAGTAGATTGGAGGACGTGCTTTATGATAAAAAAAGTTATGTAAAAAAGGTTAAAATGAATAATTGAATATGAATTAAAAAATGAATGAAAACTACAAAAATAGATAAACTTGTTTTATTAAAAAGTTGAAATGATCGAATATGAACTAAAATGAATATAAACTGAGAAAATTGAAAAACTTGTGCGTTGGTAGCAATTGTTGTGTTATCTGCATATAAAATTATGTTTTCTGAGTTAATATGATTAGGATTTATGTAGCATAGAAAAATTAGAGGTCCTAAAATTGATCTCTGAGGCACACCCATATCAACAGTTTTTAGTTCAGATTTACAATTTCCGACTTTGACATAGATCTGTCTGTTATTTATATAAGATGACAACCAAGACAAAAAGTTACCTCTAAAACCAAGCCCTATCAATTTTTGAATAGCGACATCTAAGTTGATTGAATCAAACGCCTTTGATAAATCAAAGAAAAGCGCACACACAAACAACTTTTGATCGATAGAAGGATGTATGAAATTAAAAAGATCTATTGCTGCACTTTCAGTAGATTTTTCTGGAAGGAATCCATTTTGATGTTTGCATATTATTTCATATTTTTTAAGAAATATTAGCATTTTTTTGTGGACATACTCTTCAAAGATTTTGCTTAAGATTGTAGGCACTGTAAAGGTATATAATTATCAATTAAATTATTATCACCTTTTTTAAAGATAGGAGTTACAATATCCTACTTTCAGATAATCTGGGCAAATACCTAGGTGAATAGACTGTTTGATTAAGTCTGCTAGAATTTGAGAGATGTGATGACTAATACGTTTTATTATCTTTGTGGAAATGCAGTCAATGCCCATAGAGTTAACATTTTTTAATGAGTGAATAACTTCAATTACATCACGATAATCAACAGGAGAGAAGTAAAAGGTCTAAGAGACACATGACGCAGTAACATTTTTAAAATTCAAATCATTGAAATGAGACTGTAGTGGTTTTTTGTGAAGGTGGCAAAATGCTCGGCAAAAACTTAAGCTATTTGTTTTGGTTCAATAATTGACAGTCCTATATAAAATGAAAAAATTAAAAAGTGAATAAATTGTGTCAAAATATTAATGAATTATACTGGATATATTTATTCCTCCATATGAATTCATGAATATAGGATTCAAATAATTCGGGCAATGTTCCAAACTGTCGCCGAAGTTTTCTTTTTGCTCTCATCCACATATTTTCAACATTCTGTGTATGGACATCTGGGTCATTTGAATCTACAAAGTTTTCTTCGTGTATAATGACTTGATGTTCATACACTCCACCGTTTATCTGGTTTATATTATTGTACGCCCCCCAACCATCTACAATAATGATTGTTCCAGGAAGAATGAACCTAAAGAAATATTTGAACATGATTTACATTATATATTTTATAAAATAGTATGATCTTAAAAGGAATTCTGCAAAAGAAAAAAAAGCGTGAAATAATAGATTTCCCCTTTTTACACAAGTATCTAAGGATACAAACTTACTGCTCAATGATGACAGAAAGAGTTTGGGCATTTCTGTTTGGTACTTCTACCATGAAGCACTGACCTGACTCTCTCTCAATCCCACCAAAAACCCAGTGACCTTCACGCCATTGTTCCCTGTGGTACTTCCGATGGAAATATTTTGACTCGTCAATTTCTACAATCTTTGCCGTTCCATCTTCGTTTAGTCCACCTATGATTATAGGATTACGATTAAGGTGTTCCTCACATATATCCCGGCAAAAATTGCACCAGTCAACTATGGTGTGGGATTTTTCGGGGATGTTTGCTTCTTCAGCAATGTTTTTTTGCGGGAGATCTTTGCTCCAGCAATAAATTAAAATAATAATTTGTTGGAGACTCAGTTTGCTACGTTCAAAAAACGAATTTTTACGTATTGGCAAAAAGGCAACACAAATTTTGCATGTCCATGCATAACTTTAACTTTACTCCTTTTACAGAAAGACATAGAAATCTAAAAATTAAGAATTTTTTGTGAATTTACTGAAACTAACATATCAAAAGCACATAGGAAATCTAAAAATAAAAAAATGTTTCGTGGATTTACCACTTTTTTACTTAGACAAAAAAATTAAAAATTAAGAAAAAATGCTTTGTGAATTTACCACTCTTTTACATAGACAAATAAATCTAAACTTTTTGATCAGGAGTTAAAATGTCATCCAGATTAACAATTAAAATTGGAGCTGGAACACCTCTTCCACCCATTTTATTGTTGACAATAAAAAACAACCAACAACACAAACCCAAAATAAACTTAGTAAATAGTAAATTACAACGTGGCAACAACGCAATAAATATAACGATGTTTACCTTTCCTACAACTTTACCCATTTAAATTTCACAGTAAACTCAAATTCGATGGCGGATTACAATAACTTATTGACACTGTTTTCTTTGTTTACAAACTACGAGATTATAAATATTTATGATTGATGTGATCTATTTTTTTTTATCTAAACTATCGTAATTCAATTAAAATTAAACAAAATGTGGTAACACAATACAAACACAGTTTATTGAATATCTCGATAGGACTCAAAATACTACAATGATGAAAATAGAAACAGCGATTGTAAGAATACTTTGTTTCATGTATATTATTGTTTCTGCTGGGGTATAAGTAGAAATAAATTTAACCATCCTTGCCATTTTAAATATTACAAAACAGGTTTGTTTTGGTTCTTTAAAAGTACGTTAAAAATTATTGAACTTGTAGTAAATTTGGAAGAAACCAGAACAAGCCTTAACGATAATTAATAGCAATAACTTACCCATGATAACTAAGTAAAATGGAAGGGATCAAAACAAAAGTAACTGCAGTCGTCGAAAGTAAATTTGATCTGTTGGAAGATTTTGGATCGATAAAACTTTAATGTAAGAAACTTTTTAACTTCTCAAAATGCATTTTATTTTGAAATGTTGACGATAAAGTACCTACGCAATATATTCCGTATATCTTCGTAATTTTTAACACCACAATTTTACACTACAA